GACCAAGCAGAGAGGGGCCACCCAGAACCCCCTCTGACAGGCAATCTGAATTCTTGCTTAGGCTGCAAGGCTAAGCACTGCAAGGGAATATAAATAAAAGTTAAAAATATCTATCTGGGTTCCCTGAGGGACAAGCCTGACTGCATAGGGGTTGATGTCAAAAGTATCCCCTCTCCAGGAAAAAGACATCGGGACGGGTATGGCCCTCATGCCTCACTGGACAACAACAGGGGGATGGGAGCCATTACAAGGTCCCCTTCAAATACTGGAGGTCAGGCCTCTATCCCCGCCTTCGCAAGTTTAGAATTGCCACAGCCCTTCTATACTTAGAGAAGGGAGGAGATGTCAGGGGCAGCCCTGCTTACACACTGTAGGCCTAAAATCAGCCATAGGCCTAAAATCAGCAATAGGCCTGTCATGCATGTATACTAACACCAAGTCTTGGGTCTTAGTGGAAAAACATTGAAACAGATGGCTATAAGCTAATGTCAACAGGCAGCTTTTATGAAAATTTATAATCCTGAATAGTCATAGACCTTGTAAATAGGTAGCCTTGGCAGACAATACCAACTTAGATAAGGACAAGTGAGTCATAGGCAGAGTCATAGTGAATTGTCCCCTGAACTTTCACCTAGCCGATATCCAGTTCTGAAGATATCTGTATTCCCCCTGAACACCCACACTCCAGTGTCATTCTCTTCCCCACATCCTGCCTTTCTGTGTTTATAACCCCTGTGTGAATTAATTACAATTTGAGAAAAAAAGAAAAAGAAGAGGGTGGTGGGCATGCACATCCACGCCAAGAGAAAGCGGGAGGAGCTGAGCAACGTGTTGGCAGCCATGAGGAAGGTGGCAGCCAAGAAGGATTGATGAACCCTCCCTCAATAAAAGATCATCGTTCCTATTTTTTTTTTAAAAAAAAGCTTGTAACATTCATTGTGTATCTATTATATTTTCAAAATACAATAGGAAAACCAAAATAATGTATGTGATTCACATCTTCAAAAGTTGACCAGAACCAGGTATAAATGACATGTTGTGCTTACTTCCTAGAATCTGGATTAATGCCATTTATTTATTACTGGGAAAGTAAATAGACAATAGATGCAAGTATAATTCTGCCACCTGCAGAAAATAAAAAATCACAGCTAGACTTAATGCCTAATAATAGCCCAGGCTAGAGAAAAATCTGTTTTCTTAGAAATTTAATATTAACTTTAGCTCTAAGTATAGGTATAAACATGAAGACACTTACTAGGAATCTAGTCAAAAAATGTTTATTTAAGATTTACACTCCTCCATTGCTGTTAGGACTGCAAGCTGGTAAAATCACTTTGGAAATCAATCTGGTGGTTCCTCAGAAAGTTGGAAATTGTTCTACCTGAAGACCCCACCTATACCACTACTGAACATATACCCAAAAGATGCTCCAACATATAACAATGACACATGTTCCACTATGTTCATAGCACCCTTATTTATAGTAGCCAGAAGCTGGAAAAAAAAAACAGATGTCCCTCAACAAAAGAATGGATACAGAAAATGTGGTATATTCACATAATGGAGTACTACTCAGCTATTAAAAACAATGACTTCATAAATTTCGCAGGCAAATGGATGGAACTAGAAAATAAAGTCCTGAGGTAACCCAGACACAAAAGAACACACATGGTATGTACTCATTGATAGGTGGATATTAGCCCCAAAGCTCAGAATACCCATGATATAACCCACAACCCATAAGAAGAAGGAAGACCAAAATGTAGATGCTTCAATCCTACATCATAGAAGGGCCAACAAAATAATCACTGAAGGTAGAGGAAGGGAGGAACCTGGGGGTGAGAAAAGAGGAGGAGGGAAAAATGGGGGCAGGATCAGGTACTGGAAGGGACAGGAGAGAAGTACAGAGGGTCATAGAAATATGTAGCAGTAGGGGCTGGGGAACTGAGGGGTAGCCACTAGAAAGTCCCAGACACCAGAGAATCAAGAGGTTCTCAGGACCCAAAAGTGATGAATTTAGTCAAAATACCCAACAAAGAGAGATAGAACCTGTAGAGACCATATCCAGTAGATAGGCATGGCCCCCAGTTGAGGGATGGGGCCACCCACCCATCTCAATTTTTTTAAACTTTATCAGTTATTTTATTTATTTACATTTCAAATGTTACTCCCCTTCCCAGTTTCCCCTCTGCAAAACCCCCATCCCATCCCCTCCCCTGCTTTTATGAGGCTGCTCCCCCACCCACATACCCCTACTCCCACCTCACCACCCTAGCATTCTCCTATTCTGGGGCACTGAGATTTCACAGGACTAAGTTCCTCCCCTCCCAGTGATGCCAGATAATGCCATCCTTTGCTACATATGTAGCTGGAGCTATGGGTCCCACCATATGTATTCTTTGGTTGGTGGTTTAGTCCCTGGGAGCTCCGGGGTATCTGGTTAGTGGATATTGTTGTTCTTCCTATGGGGTTGTAAACCCCTTAAGTTCCTTCAGTCCTTCCCCTAGCTCCCATTGGGGTCTCCGTGCTTAGTCCCATGGTTGGCTGCAAGCATCCAAATCTGTATTGATACGACTCTGGCAGAGCCTCTCAGAAGACAGCTATATCAGGCTCCTGTCAGCAAGCACTTCTTGGCATCAGCAATAGTGTCTGGGTGTGGTAGCTGCATATGGGATGGATCCCTAGGTAGGGCAGTCTCTGGGTGGCCTTTCTGTCTGTCTCTGCTCCACTCTTTGTCCCTGTATTTTCTTTGAACAGGAGCAATTCTGGGTTAATATTTTTGAGATGGGTAGGTGGCCCCATCCTTCAACCAGGGGCCGTGCCTAACCTCTGGATATGGTCTCTACAAGTTCTCTCTCCCCAGGTGTGGGAGGAGACAGGGGAAATGTACAGAGGGTCAGGAAATCGAACAAAGGTGTGTAGCAATGGGAGATGGGGAACAGGGGTAGCTACCAGAAAGTCCCAGATGCCAGGAAAGTAAGAGGCTTCCAGGTCTCAACAGGGATAAAATCTCAGAATTGTTAACCCAGAAATGTTCCTGTCCAAAGGAAAGACATGGACAAAAACTGGAACAGAGACTGAAGGAAAGACCATCCAGAGATCGCCCCACCTAGGGATCCATCCCGCCTGCAGACATCAAACTGCCACACTATTGCTAATGCCAAGAAGAGCTTGCTGACAGGAGCCTGGTATGACTGTTTCCTGAGAGGCTCTACCAGCACCTGACCAATACAGATGCAGATACTCACAGCCAACCATTGGACTGAGCCCCAGGACTCCAATGGAAGAGCTAGGGGAAGGACTGAAGGAGCTGAAGAGGATTGCAACCCCATAGGAAGAACAACAATATCAATTAACTAGACCCCCCAGAGCTCCCAGGGACTAAGCCACCAACCAAAGAGTACACATAAAGGGACTCATGGCTCCAACTGTATATGTAGCAGAAGATAGCTTTATCTGACAACAATGGGATGGGAGGCCCTTGGTCCTGTGGAGGTTTGATGCCCTGGCATAGGGGGATGCTAGAGCAGTGAGGCAGGAGTGGATGAGTGGGTGGAGAAGCACCCTCATAGAGGTAAAGGAGGGGGAGAGGGGAAGAGGGGGAATGGGATGGGGAGTTTGTAGAGGGATAACAGGGAGGGGGGATATTATTTGAAATGTAAATGGATAAAATGATTAATAAAAAAGATTTACATTACGTATAGAGATTTTGCAATTTGGAAGCATTGCTTTAAACCATATACACTCATGGTTTGCTTATTTCAGGAAGCTATGGCTGTTTCTGGTTTGATTTTCTCTTTTTGAAATGCAGTTTCACATATCGCAGGCTGGCCTTGAACTCAGTGTATACTAGCAGAGGGTAACCCTGAGCTTCTGACCTTTCTGCCTCCATCTTCTGAATGCTATGACAACCCCAAGCCCCATCCAGTGTTTCATTCATGCTAGGTAAGCCCTCTAGGTAATCCTCAGCCCCTATTTGTTTTTATTATGATTTAAATTATTTGTGCGCAGGCGTGTGTGTGTGTGTGTGTGTGTGTGTGTGTGTGTGTGTATGTGTGCGCGCACATGCGGGCATGCACTTATGTCACATGACAGCTTGGGGGAAATGGTTCTCTCCTTCCACCATGTGGATCCTAAGGATTGAAATCATGTTACCAGGCTTGCCAGCAGGCAACATTACTAATGGAACCATACTGCCAGCCTTCCTATTTCTGTTTTGGCTTTGGGTTTCTGAGATGAAGTCTCACTATGCAAGCTGGCTTGGAATTCACAGTGTAGATCAGGCTGGCCTTGAACTCACAGAGATCCCTTTGCTTCAGCTTCCTGAGTTCTGGGATTAAAGGTGTTTGTCATCATCCCCGACCTATTTATGGTTTTCTTTTTTCTCGATATTTTGCCTTTTCTGCTGCATTCATTTTTATTCCTTTTCTTTTTTTTCCCCCATTTCTTAATTATACCTAAAGTCATAGCTACGTTTAATATTAGCATCAGTTTCCTGGGACAAACCCTGGTGACAAAATGAAACACAGTCCTGCTGTTTAAGACTAGCTAATCATCTATTAATCCCACACACCTCATGGGGTCCCAGCTTACTTAAAAAACAGAATATTAAATCCATAGGTAGTGGAGATGCTGCTAGACTCGCCAAAGATTGCTCTCATCCTGCGGATGGGGCAGTAGAGGCTCTCTCTTCCTCTTCTTTCTTGTCTTCCCAGATGGTGTAGAAGAAGCCTGCATCTTGGATCTGCACCGGCTCTGCGTCACTCCTGATAGAGTTCCTGCATTCAGCTTCTGAGCACGTTCCTGTCACAGCAGCCTTAAGTGAAGTTCGAATTTACAAACTGGCCGAGCAAGATGCTGAGATTCTGCTTAGTTTGAAGACAAGCTGGCCTAACTGTGGGGAAGTAATGTGTACTTGAGAAAACTGTTGTTTAACAAAGATGACAGTTGGCTTGAAGTCGTCTGATGAAATGTTGACTTAATGAAACCCGACAAATGAAAACTTGGTAGAACCATTTATTATCTTTGAGTTACAATGCCACTAAAACATTGACCACATTTTTTCCATCCTCTTGTTCCTAAGGAAACAAAGAACAGAAAACTCAGTTATGAGAAGCAGAATAATTGCATTACAAATAGAAATGCAGACGTCTGAAGGCAGTGTGAGATCGAAGGTCAGCCATGTCTGACCTCCACTGTGCAAAGGAAAGAGAGCTATTGTAGGAAGCAACCAATGAATTGTAGAAATACTTGTGAATGCACGTTGGTCATTGAGGTTCCTGTATCCACTTTGGGAATCCACTATGTTTATTTGAGAAACACACTGTGAGCTGGCAGTGGTGGAAGACATCAATAATCCCAGCACTCTGAGGGCTGAGGCAGGAGGATCACTAAAGGTTCAAGACTTGCCTGAGCAACACAGTGAGATACTATCTGTCTCAACCCCATTCCCACCCACTGCAAAAAAAAAAAAAAGTTTTATAAAATAATGGTTAAGCTATGGTTGTTTCTAATATTCTATGTTCATATCCTTCCATTTAAGGTATTTATTAATTGTATTTGTGTGTAAATTCCTATGCACGTGTGTTTATTTATCCGTGTGTGGAACACACACCCGTGTGTGTGTGTGTGTGTGTGTGTGTGTGTGTGTGTGTATCTGTGTGTGTAGGCCAGAGGTCAACCTTGAATATTGTTCTTCAAGATGTCTACCTTGTTTTAGAGACAGGATCTCTTACTGGGGCTTTGGGCAAGTCCCAGGGTTCCTTTGGCCACTGCCTTCCCTAGACAGGTATCATAAGTATCACCATCACGTCAAACTTTTTATGTGGGTTCTAGGGAGCAAATATTACGTTTGCATGCCAACAGCTTTACCACTAAGCAACTCCCTAGCTCTTCCTATCTCCAGTTGTGACAATGGCAATCTTTTTTCTCTGGCTGAAACATTTTAGAGGCCAGACACTGCTTTAGCCATTTGCCTGCTGTAATATTTATGTAGCTGGAGAGATAAGAAATCTTGTGTGTGTCTGGGTGTGTATCTGAGTATGTGCAGGCAGAGGCCAGAGGATGATGTTGGGTGTCTTCCTCAGTTGCTTTCCACTTTACAAACCTGGAGCTCCTCAGTTTAGCTAGGCTGGCTGACCAGTGAGCTCTAGGAATCCACCTGCTTTTCCCAGTGCTGGCATTACACACATGGGCCACTGTGCCTAGCATTTACATGGGGGCTCAGGATTTGAAGTTGGGTCCTTATAGATGTGTCACAAGCCTTTGCCAGATGAGCCATCTCCCTGGTCTGAGACAAGTCTCTAAGCTTTTTTTCCCCCGTTTAACATTTCCTTGGTCTTGGGAGTAATAGGTTTTGTGTGTGTGGTACTAGAGATCAGCCTCAGAGCCTTGCTCATGCAAGACGAGTGCTCCACCAACATCCCCAGCTCCTGATTAATAAGTCCTCTGACAGTAAGGCTTTTACACAAATTGAGCTTAATTAGCTGGAAGATTTCTACACCTATAAAATTTTATTCCATTTTTTTTTCTGATGTGGCAATTATTTATCGTTCTCACTGTTGTAACATCTTAATCTAAAACTGGCCGGCTGGGGGCTGGAGAGATGGCTCGGCTGTTAAGAGGCTGCTCTTCCAGAGGACCTGGGTTCAATGCCCAGCCCACATGTGGTGGCTCACAACAGGCTGTAACTTCAGTCCTACACTGCCTTCTTCCAGTCTCTGTAGACACTGCATGCATGCAGTGCACAGACACACTCGGGAAAACGCTCATACACAGAAAATAAAAAAATAAAATCTCAAATAAAAAAAATCAAGCATACACATAGCCTACATTATTGATATTTACCTTGTAGAAAGTAATTTTGAGAAAACACTTTAGAATACATTCTATTCTACTCTCTGAGGGGGAAAGAAGGATGAGCTCGCTTTCTAGCTCAGGCTGGCATTGAACTCATCATCTTCCTGCCACTGCTGTCCTCCGCATACCGGGATCCAATGCTTGTTACTATCTATTTAAAGTCATATCGATTTATAACTATGTTTGGGGTTTTTGTGTAATGGGGTGTCGTCAGCATGCATGTGGACATCAGATGACAACTTTGTGTCTTCAGTTTTCCTTTTCTATCTTTATGTGAGCCCCAAGGATCAAACTCTGGTTGCAAGGCTTGCACAGAAAGCACGTTCACTCACTCAGGTTTCCCACTGGTCCTCTTCTATATTATACACAGAGACACATTTTCCAGCTAGTGTGTGGGGTGGAGAGCATTAGTAATTCTAGCAGACTGAGCCACCTCACCTCATGTGTGAGAATGGATGAGGTGTCTTGCTTGTTTTTTATTTGTTTTAATGTTAGAAAGAGTCTTGTTACATAGCTCTGCCTGTGCTGCAACTCACTATGTAGATCGGACTGTTCTCAAACTTACAAAGATCTACCTGCTTCTGTCTCCTGAGGCCCAGGATTAAAGGTGTGCTCTAACACACCCCACATTGATGAGTTTTCCTCTTGAGAAAAAAATGAAGCCACCTCTGTAACTTCCTCTTTAACACTATCATCGCCCTTCTCCTTCCCAGAGAGAGCTTTTTCTGCCTTCGTTTTCTAATTGCTGAAAGTTAAAGGGAATGAAACGTTTGACTCAAAAGGTAGTGTGGTGGGAGGGAGGGGGAGTATACAGGTGGCTGAGTGGGTAAAGTGCTCGATGTGCAAGTGTAAGGACCTGAGTTTGAATCCCCAGAACGCACGTAAAGCTGGGCACTGTAGTGTGAACTCCATGCTTCTACAGCAAGCTACGAGGTGGAGATGGAGAATCCTGCAAGCCCACACACAGGCTGGGTAGCCTGGGGTACATAGTGCAGCAGCAAACAACAAAGAGACAAGGCAGGAGGTACAAACTGATACCTAAGGTTGCTCTGGGCCCCATATGCATGCCATGGCACATGTTCGCGCGCACACACACACACACACACACACTAAAGAAAGGGTAGTGGTACTCTATATGCAATGGTATTAATACTTCAAAATCATACCATGATATCAAAATATTTAAAAACTTACACCTCATCCCTGAATTTATCCAAAGTTATTATGTGTCCATCATCATTCAGAACTTCATCTGCAGCACAAAGGCCCAAGTTTTTTAGGGCTGCAAAAGTGAGAAAGAGAAGAAATGAAAATTTACAAACTAGGATTCTTTTCAGCTAGAGAAAGTGACGGAGCAGCCTCAGCCTATCTGTGGGCTGTGCTGACCTTCTTTATACTGCACAAACGATATGCAGCCTCTGCCGGCGGTGTCCATCATCTCAAACATGGACACGATGTTAGAGTTGTCCATAAAGTAGGGATATGCCACTTTCATTGCCTTGGCGATTCTCAGACGTTCCAAAAGAGAGATTAAATAATCTCTCGGTTTTTCTGCAAATAAACAGTTGAAACTTACTCTTATATGAAATTAAACTGTGCATAAGTATAAACAGTCACTTATGAGGTAATCACCCTGGACTACAGAGTGAGTTCCAGGACAGCCAGGGCTACACAGAGAACTCGGCCTTGAAAAACCAAATGCATATATACATACATATGCATATACATATGCACAGACATACATATGCACATGCATATATACATACATATGCACATACATATGAACATGCATACATATGCACATGCATATATACATACATATGCACATGCATATAAACATGCATACATATGCACATGCATATATACATACATATGCACACACATACATATCCACATAAATGGTGAAACAAGATTGGTTAAATTCTAGCAATTAGAGTGGGTGATGGGTCCAGTAAACCAGTATAGACCAGTCACTTACCAAAGGTGCAGGCCTCACTTGCATGAACCTTACAGTGCAACAGAGACTGCTTAAGGAACTGAGCATGGGCTCTCTCTTCCTTGGATGACTGAGCAACCCAATTCAGACTAGACCTGGGTGATTTTTTTTGTTTTACAAGCTCCCCAGGTGACCTAATTTGTAGAAAGAGGTGGACAGTAGACAGACAAAGGGGTTGATGTGGGGAAGAAGCTAAAACCCAGGAAATGGAAATAGTCTTAGACAAATGCAGTCTTCTGATGAGGCAGAATGTTTGTGTCTGACAAAGAAGAGGCGCTCTGGATCAACAGGCTCTTCTGCTGAACTGACTTAAAAACAGAAAATTGAGTCCACTTTCCAAAACTAGCACAGCAATTGAAAGCTCGGAACTTTGGACTGCTTGAATCCTCCTTCCCCGCCCCCCACCTCCACCAAGGGAGAGGCTAATTAACATTCCTGGTCAGCTCAGGAACTTCGGAAAGGTCCTGGGACACTTGCAGATGGAAGAGGCTGATTAACATTCCTCAGACCACAGGGGAGGGAACCCACCTGCAGATGGGGAAGGCCCAGAGCATGTAGACACAGTAGACACATTCTGCAGGACAGACCAACCCTTGCCACCTACAGACAAGGAAAGTCCTTGCCACCTCATTCCCTAATGACCAATCAGTTTAAAAAGTCACACTGTTCTGCCAATCATGTTGTGTCTAATTGCTGCTGCCCTAAAAACTATAAAAACTGGCCAAACGGGTTGCCCGGGGTCACCTCTCCTTTTGGATGCAGGATGACCCCAGCATGCTGGAACAATAAAATCCTCCTGCTTTTGCAATGATCCCCCCGCTCTGCGTTGTTCACTTAGGGAATCTCCAGTAAACTAAGGCTCACTAGAGTCTTACACAATCATGGCAGAAGTCAGACGTAAGACAGCGCCGCTTAGATGACCAATGCCACCGTGACTGCATTTTATTCTTTGAATATTAGGTCTCAGGCCCACATTTTCTAAAAATCATTTTAAAGATATTGGTGAGAATTAATTTTTTAAGGCTCTTGGGGCAGAGCTGACTCAACATTTAATAACACTTGCCTTTGCAAAAGATACAAATTCTATTCCCAGCACCTACCTCAAGTGGCTCACAACAGCCTGTAACTCCAGTTCCAGGGTATCTGATGCCTTATTATGGCCTCTCTAGGCCCTTGCACACACGTGGCATATATTGAAAGACACATACATAAATAAAAGTAAAAACAAACCTAAAGAAAAGGATAATGGACCCAGCACCAACTTCAACTGCTAGAATTTAACCAATCTTATTTCACCATAGTGTTATTTACTTGCCCTTCTCTACGTATGTATATGTGTGTGTGTGTGTGTGTATGTATGTATGTATGTATGTATGTATGTATGTATTTAGTTTTTCAAGATAAGGTTTCTCCATGTAGCCCTGGCTGTCCTGGAACTCACTCTATGTAGACCAGACTGGCCTCAAACTCAGAAAGCTTCCTGCCTCTGCCTTCAAATGCTGGGATTAAAGGTGTGTGCCACCATGTCTGGCTTCTCTGCGTATGTTAAGGAAATCATACTGGTCATTACTTGAAGTGTATACCTGTTTTAGTTAAGTCTTCTGTTGCTATGCTAAAACACTCTGACGAAAGCAACTTAAGGGAAGAGGGTTTATTTTGCATCACAATACGGAGTTAAAAATCCAGGGAATGTCCCAGAGCAGGAAGCAGAGAGGTGATTGCTTCTGCTCAGCTTCCTTTCCGCTTTTTAGCATACCCTGGGAATGCTTCCACACGGTGGTCAGCTTTTCCCCTCCCAATTAGCCTAATCAAGACACACCACCGACATTCCCAGGGGTCCATCTCCTACATGATTAAAGACTTCATTACTTTGACAATGAAGAAAAGGGAGAAAAAGAACAAAGGAAGTGTAATCTAAGCATAATATTAAACATCGACTCTTGTGAACATCAGATGTACTAAATTTGTGTTTTAAATTTAACGGTCAGTGGTTAGGAACACTTGTTCCTGCAGAGGATCTGATTCAGGTTCCAGCACCCATATGGTGCCTCATACCATGGGCAACTCTAGTTCAGGGGATCTGAATACTGTCTTCTAACCTCTTCGGGGACCAGGCACACAGGCGACACTCCCATGATACACAGCCATATATGCAGGCAAAACACCTACACACATTTAAATAAATACATTTTAAAAAATACAATAAAATATTTCAAAAAATATTTTTCTCATCCCCTAGGTAGTCATACTAGTTTTTGTTTTCTTCTGCGTTGGAATGGTATTTCTGTTTCCTTTCCACAGAAGTAAATGAACATTTTGGAATTCCGGAGACTTATTATGAAGGCCGTCAGGCTCCAGTCACCCTGGGAGGAGCAATCTCGTTTTCATCTCAAATGTAACACCTTACCACATGCCAATAAAAATTATGAAATAATCCAAACTTTGAAGGAGTCTACTGTATAAAAATGCCAGGAAAAAAAACTGGCTCCCCAAGATGATCCTGGTAGCTCACGCTAGCCCTTATTTAGCTCCCTTAATAAATTAGAGACTCCTTGGAATTGAAAAGATTTATCGCTTGCCTGGCCAAGGCTGATATAGCTGTAATTTATTTAATAACCTCCCGCCCCCTGTGTTCTGTGCGGTTCTGTTCCCATTAGAGCCGTACGATTATCTACATTTTCCTGTGGAAGAGACTGACATTCAGTCTTACCCCAAGCACTCATAACTAAGGAGTGGGCCTGGAGCTAGGCAGTCCCCAGACTCTGCCACTCACAGACTCTGGCAGCCTCCCTACCACTCCCCGCCGCACCAAGAGGACACTTATCATGTTTGACTCAGAGTTGGGGATGTGTGTGGAGGGGGAAAGAGCTCACAGAGCCTTTGAACTCCGGGCAGGGCTCCACTCGCGGGGAAGCAGGGAATGGAATGAGTGGAGAGAACTGGATATAGGCTGGGGATCCTTTGCTTAGGAAGAAGTAGACAGAAAGCCAATGGAGACAAGACCCTTACTTGGTCGGGCAAAGAGGAGGAAGCTAGTTAGTTGACTCAGCAACTCCATGATCCGATGTCTTTCTAAATACAGCTTGGCCTGAAGCTCCCGGTCACCCGTAGGGTCCATGTTTCCAGGCTGAGCCGTTGCTAAGCGACCAGGCAGCCTCCAGGCGGCCCAACTCCGCCCCTTTCGTGCTCAGACACGTGAAACACCTCACCTTCTTCCCCAGCCCGACTCCTCCTCCCTCCCAGGTACCTCTTCCAGGGGCTTCCCTGGGGCAGAAGCAGGGGTGTGTGGTGGGCAGTCTGCGAGCACACCGGCTTGTGGTGCGGGTGCCCACCCTTCATCGACTGAGGCTGTTTGTTTGGTCTGGGTTCCTGCTTCCTGTACTTGTTTGTTTTAAGTTATAGGAACCCAGGATTTACCAATAAGAATGTTAACAGTTCTAAGAATCCTAAATAGCATTTTCTGGGTGAGCAGCCAGCAGGGATGCTCTGGCAGGAGGTCTCAGGTTAAGCTCTGGTGTTTTCTGCTGAACCACACCAGGATTGCTAAACTTTTTCTGCTTTCAGCTCTTTTAACACTTTCCATGTGCAGCCCTGTATAGAATACATGTATAATTTTAAAACAGTTCTTTGAAGTCAGGTGCAATGGTGCATGTCTGTATGAAATATTGGTACTTAGGGGTGGAAGATTAAGGGTTGGTGTCATCCTTGGCTACAAAGAGAGGTCAAGACCAGCCTGGGATACATAGCCCTGTCTCAGAAAACCAAAACAAACTAAATCAAAGCAAAACATTTTGCTTTGTAAACATCATTAACAATAAAAGCAAATTTATGTACTAATGTACATGGAGCTGCTTGCTAATTTTGAGGAATCAAATGCTGGCTTGATACTTGATACTGCAAAGCACAGAGCACCTTTAATATTTTTCAAAGTTCGTTGGTATTTTTATAATTCTCAAAGCGGAAAATGCTACATCACAGAAATACATAATACAAATTGGCTAATGTATGTTTAGGGCCATTCCAGGAATTCTTGGAAATTCTCTTTTCCCCAGGTCAAAAATACACTTAATGATTTTATTTTCTTCTTATTACGACATTCAAGGCAACAAACCAAACATCTGCAACTAGGTCATAGCTCAATGGTACAGCACTTGACTAGAATGTCAAGACCGGGAGGTTAGATCTCCCGCTTTGCAATAACAACACCCAAAAATCGAAACAAACAAAACCAAAAGACCCTATTTTAAAGGTCTGGGGATGTAGATGACCATCTGAGCACTGATCTAGTGTGAAGACGGCTCTAGATTTAATTCCAGCAACCTCAAACAAAACATTAACTCATACATTCTAGCAAGTAAATATGAACATCTGTGATCCCAGGACACGGAGGGCAGGCAGAGGCAGACCAGTAAAATAAATAAACGAATGAACAAATTAACCCCTTGAATACAATCTAATACACAGACTTCAGCATGCTGATGAATGACAGTGGGAAAATATTAAAAGTATTTGTTTTCTGTAATTAAGCTGTCGTATGTCTATACAAGAAGAACATTTTGCATATACAGTAAAAACACTGCAATTCATTACATGCAATAGGCTCAAAGCTGGCCTTAGGCAGTAAGTGTCTTTAAGGCTAGCTTGTGGCCCTCTTCGCCTGACTCTTCTCCACCCCTGGGGCTGCAATTTTGCGGTTTCCTTAGGCTCCACTAGGCTATTGTGTCCCTTCCTGCCCTCTTTTCCCATCTTCCTTTCCGAACTTCCTGCAATCCCAAATCCCACCCTTTTGTTTTTGCAACCCCATTTCCCACCCGTTCTTCTGAAATACACACACACACACACACACAGAGAGAGAAAGAGAGAGAGAGAGAGAGAGAGAGAGAGAGAGAGAGAGAGCTCAGTTGCTCAGTTTTCATCCTTACCTTCTGGCTTCTACAAAATCCCTGATATCAGTCTCTCCTCTGGCTAACATGGATCATCAATCCACAAGGCCAGTGGGAGTAGAAACATTCAACAGGGGATTGAAGACATTCAACAGGGGGTTGAGTGAATACGTACAGTGAATGCCCACACCAGGATTGCTTGTCAGTAGACAGATCAACTTACAGATCAACTTTACTTATGGTGAATGAGGCTTATAAGGTTTTGGGTGACTGAGGATAGAGGTGTCCTGGAGGGGCAAATGTCATTGGCTGGGGGCTTAGGGTACCTAGCATACCTCATTAGCATCGGGAAGCATTTCAAGAATCTCAGCTGCTAACTGAACAGGTTTTGTCAGGAGAAAGAGAATTGATAAACTATGAACTAAGTGGGGCTATGTAGAATTCCTGGGACAAGGTCAGGAAATGAGGAACCCTGTTAACACGGGTAGTCCCCCATTACATGCCCAGCCCCAGAAGGCTATCCAGCCAATGGTAGATTTCAACCTTAATTAGCAGTTTTCCCACAAGGCTATAGGTGACATTTTCCTTTCCTCATCCGTGGGAACCATGTTTTTCATATCCTTGTTTCCCCTGGGATGCCTCTTAGGAGACTCCCAGCCTCTTCACCTGGCGTCTGACCTGAAGGGCCATACATTTATTCACTTTTGCAATCAAATTTGGCCTTAATACCCTTTAGATTATCAAGCCAAAAGACTGCCTAGTGGCACCCTGGATCCCCATATTATTTGGGAATTTTACAATACTGCCACTGGTCTGGAAGTAGAAAGAAATTTCCCATTCCCTGTTTCTCTTTTCCCCATTCCAAGCCCTGGTTGGTTGGGAGTGGGGGTAGGTGGCAGGGTCCTGGTCTCCCTGCCCCACATCCCACCTTGCCCCGCATGTTGTAAATGTCCTGTCTTTTAAGTTAATATTGATGGATCTATAAGTTTGTTGCAAAGTGAGAACAAGGCCTGACATAGCAGGAGGGAGGAGAAGCAAAAGAGTAGGCCAGGGGCAGGTCACACACATACCCACATGTAGTCCTCGCTGGTTGATGTGTCTGTCTCTCAGCCTCCTCTTGCAGCATCCTTTGTCTATAGCCCGGGGTCTAAACTTTTCCTATTTCTAAGCCTTCTTTATTCTCCGTTTACTGGATTCAGTTTTGTGGGGACTCGGGCTTCTTTTAGCTATGAGTGGCATTAGTCTGTTGTGTGCTGTCCTGCTTTAATTAAAAGCTGGCTTTGAAGTTAGGAAATGGCTCTCCCTCTTCTAGACCCAAGCACATTTGCTTAAAGGTTTCCTCCAAAATATGATATGGTTTGCCCCATATCAGGCAAGCCACCTGACTGTGTGACAGAGAAAGAAAAGCAAAACAGAATAAAAGGACAGACTATGCCTAATGGGGACTATAACGACTCATTTCATACTCTTTTAGTTTTGATTTACCTCTCTAAAACTCTTGCTAAGGTACAAATCTTACCTCAAGATTCGTGACAACACTGTTATGCAAACTTTCTGTACCTCAAGATTTGTAAGCACATTGGGTATGATTGAAACTCAGTACATCTGTTAACTTAAAACTCAGAGCCGGGCGGTGGTGGCGCACGCCTTTAATCCTAGCACTTGGGAGGCAGAGGCAGGCAGATTTCTGAGTTTGAGGCCAGCCTGGTCTACAGAGTGAGTTCCAGGACAGCCCAGGCTACACAGAGAAACCCTGTCTCGAAAAAACAAAAAAAAACAAAACAACAAAAAAACCCCAACAAACTCATAACATCAGGGTTGATAGTTTAAATTTTATATGTAGGTTACCTTTAAGGAAACATGAGGCTTACTGCCATCTGAGCTGGTGTCTCCCCATCTGGATGGAGGCTGCCTTGAGGCTAGCAGCCATCTTGGCTAGGGTTGGAGCAGAAGGACTTTGCCACGTGACCTCACTCTCGCTTGATTAAAAGTGACCACATGGCACAAGCCAACCAAGGAAAAACAACTCTTCCTAGCTGTGAGACCCAAACAAGATGATTCCTCCCTCATTTTCATCATGCTTACAAGCCTCTTTCTGTCTGCCTTGGCCCACAGCCCCTTCTCTCCTCCTGGCCTCTTTAGTCTCCCTTTCTCCCTTCTCAGTGATAGGCTACTGTGATCAAACCTCTTGGGTGCCCACTCGCCCACTAGCAGCCCTTAGTCCTGCTACTCGCTCCTGCTCTGCCATGGAACCTCCTTTGTCTCCCCCTACAGACCCTAAACCTGCCACAGTTCTTCTTTTGCAGAAGGTTGCTAGGATAGTTTGGTCAGAGTACATTAAGTGAACTCTCTCAAACAGAAAAGAGATTGGAGTCCTACACTGCAAATTCTTCCACCTTTATTAAAGAATTAATATATATCATTCATTCTTACAATGCCTCCTCCTGGCTCCAGCCCTACCTCTTCCATAACTCACTCCTTCTTTCTCTATGTTACTAAAAAGGAGGGATATGCCCTCGGTGTCCCAGGTCACCAGCTGGGACTTTTCTTTGTGCCCATTGCATTCTTACTGAAAAAATTAGACTATACTATCCAAGGACAGGCACCTTGCCTGTGCACTCTGGCTTGCAGCTGAGCTTCTTATGCATGAATCAGAGACGATAACTTTCAGGTCACTTATTACTGTCTTCTCTTCTCACTGCCTGCCCCACCTTCTAACATACAAAGGTCTTCAAACACTATGCCCTAGCTGAGTGTTCTCTCTCTTCGGGTAGCACTGGTCTAGGGCACCATACTTACCTTTCAGCCATTCCCACCTCTTAGCATTTCAATTCTCCTCCCCCAGTCAGTCCTGAAATACTCCCCTCACTCTTACATTGAGACCTTAGGAGTTATTACCTCATCCTATACACACACGAGGGTGCACTACCGAGGGTGCACTACCCTGGGCGCCTATACTTGGTACCCACATGGCAGCTCTTCCTTACACAGAGTGTGAAAAGTGGGATACGCTATTGCTTTAGACACCATGGTGATGAAAGCACAGGCCCTTCCAGCCCAAACCATAAACCAACAGGCGAGGTAATAGCTCTTACTCGTGCCCTCCAATTCACAAATGGACAATCCCTAAACCTTTATACAGACTCTTCACATTCTCTTGTCACATGTAGCTATTTGGAAGAAGCATGGGCTACTTAGAACAAAAGATGGGTCCATAACCAACTCAGACCAAATTGTGGCCCTGTTAGAGGCCTGTTTCCCACAGCCATAGTGTGATCCATGGCAGATCACACCAAGCAAACAGTTTCATTATCTCCCTAGGGAAAGAAACGGAGGAATGAGTGGCTAGGGCTGGGGCTCTTGGATACCTGGGTTCCTCTTACACGCCACAAGACACTCTCCTTTTACAACCCCCATTTTCATTACCATCCCCAAATATTCAATAAATTGTATCCTATCTGCAGCAGATCTTTTACCCT